TGAGAAACACCCCACCAGGGCACGGCGTAACATGCACCGAAAGGTCAGTGTGCGAGGCTAGACGAATGAGAGAGTGAGGATGCAGGTGACCCAAGGGTACGGGACGACTCCTCGGTCGCACTGGTGTAGGACTGCGTTGGAAAAAGTCATTTCTACACCTCTCAAGGCTACATGCATCGCGGTAGTACCAGTGTCCATCTATCTATCGTACCGGTTGTGCTGGAGAAAAAATTCGCTCGACAAACCCATGCGCAACGTTCAAGACGTATCCGGGGAGGCAAGCTGCTGCACCTGCACCATGAAGGTTCTCAGAAGTGATCACCGATCTTGTCGCGTTTCGTTTCACCTCACCGTCGCCGCTCGACCTCCGCCACAGGACGTTTGACGGGCCCGTTGATGTTGATACCGCCATCGACTTGGTCGCGAGCGGACCTCACCAGTACCAGTGGGGCCGCTTCCCGGAATACAATGCCATTCTCGAAGAGGCCTTTCTGGGCAACGCTACGGATGGATGGAAGGAACTGGACGCCTATACCCCGACCTTGCTTCGTCCCAACTTCCATTTGGGGGGAGACGAGAACCCGGACTGCCTACACTACTGTATTCCAGGGCCAATAGATCACTGGGTTCGACTACTGTACAAAATGTTGTTGGCCAAAGGGTATCAATAGAATAGGTTGGTGGCGCGACAATATCCGCGTTTGTTGTGCACGGGATAACCTGCTGTAGGATATGCCTGCAAATGGCGAATCTTTGCCTCAATTGATTTGATCACGTGCGTATGTAAGGTTAGCTTGTGGATGATCATTTTGCAGCCGTGGCGCGCGGGGCTGAAGCCTTGAGATGCTCGCTGAGAAGTATCCTCCAACCCTTGGAGGTTGAACAATTGGATATCGGTGGACAAAGCTCGGTCAAGATGTGTCGAGATAAAAACGTCTCGTACGATCGAACTGACGGGAACGGTTCTCTCCTGGTGCACGCCTGAAGTGGACCACACGCCGGAGAAGCCCCTTACAAGAAACAGCCAACAACTCCAAACTTTGACACACTGGTCTGAACCTCAACTAACTGAAAAGATGGCGAGTGCTCCGCGGATCAGTGTGTCGATATTACGAAGATGTAATACCCTTCTGTAGAAGTGTCATGTGTGGCTGCGTTGTCACAAAACGCAACGCCAGAAGTCCGTAGGTCGCACACGCTCACCGAGTGGCTAGTAGTTGAGCGGTGATTCACGACGACAAAAGCGCGGTGAGGCTTCTTCGCCGCTCAGAGTTCAGTGTCATTCCCTTTCTTGCTACTTCGGAGTACAACACGACGAATCCATGTCGATCCACAGAAGAGTCAAGGATGACACACAGAGGTTCGTTTCAGCAATCGGTCAAGCAAGGACATTAAGTGGGGTCTTTAGAATCTCGAAAAAAATGATGTCCATCCCAATCCCCGCATATCTCGCATGGAGCGTTGAAAGTATTTCGAATCGCTGTGCCGGGCGCACGTTTCGATCAGACGTGCGGGACTCCGCCTTGTGCTTCCCAACCATTCACCATGAATTTCGACACAAAATCACACGTACCCATTCGGCTCGGATCGCAGGGTGCCAGGCACGAGTACTATGACGGCCCTATATTGTGATCCATAGACAGTATGCGAACCCCGTAGGGTCCAGGGCTGTTGTACACGACAGGAAATGGACCCTGCCCGCTCTGAGACCCTGCAGGTACGAGTACTGTGACGGCCCTATATTGTGATCCATAGACAGTATGCGGACCCTGTAGGGACCAGCGCGTGGAGTACACGGCAGGACATGGACCCTGTCGGGCCTGTTTCGGCCTACCCTGTATAGGGCAGAGGCTTTCTATATGGTGTGTGAGGGTACACCTTGGTACAAGGTCAGGTAATGAATAAGGTCGAGGAGGCTGCCCCATGTGAAGGTAGCGACCTTTATAATTATGTCGGTGGGTGTACCGTGTACGGCAGGGACCCTGCGAGTGGTCACCTGTTTGGTGCAGAGAGGGTACCACCTTGGTGGAAGGTAATTGTGATTATTATGTTTGCATCAGACACACCCAATCCACACAAGTTCTCGACGTCGGACGTACACCGCACCCACACCAAACTCTCTAGAAGACACATGTTCGTACAAGTCGCGACCGGAAAACACTTGTATATTTTATTCTATACCAACCACTTGCGCGTTCTCTCTGTCTGGCGTGTCTCGCCGAACCAGAAACCGACTTTATTACGAGCTTGTGTCAGTAAAAAAAGACGAAGCAACGGGTACCCGCACGCGCCGCAAAAAACTCACGAGGACAGACTCAATTGTCAAACTACGTGCGCCCGGCGCACGAGAAACATACGGCGGCGTCAATTAACAGGCGGGGGCGGGAGACAAAGGTAGATCTATCTTCCGTCCACGTTCTGTTTTTCTTACCATCTCTTTCCTATATCTCCGGCTCTGCGCACGACATGTTCTACGCAACGCACAAAGATATAAATATAACTCCCACGCGCTCCCCCCCCTTCCAAAACCGTGCTAGCCTCTTACTAAGCAAAACTCTTGTCACATCCGAACACTCCATTTCGCCATCAACAGGCGACACACTCGAGGGCAAAGACGGTGCGATGCGCGCCTTCTAGAAGTGCCCGGGGTGAGGGTTTCCTCGACGCGAAGAGGGCCAGCGTTGGGGCCGACCGTCTCCTCTCCGTCCGAAGCGGGCTCGGGGTTGGCGATGGCCGGCTCCTCTGTGAAGAGGAAAAAGTACAAACAACAACGGAGGTTGAAGTGGGCGTTTAGTAAATAGAGCTGATGCGTGTCGAGGCGGTGCGGGGGCGAGCAAGAGGGATGCATGCGTGTGGTGTGCTGGTATAGCCACACTCAAAAGCTGGGGAGGTTCCTCGCCGGGTATCCACTTTGGTTCAACATCAACGAACACTACGATGAATGTTTCAGGGTAGTCGTCGTCGCGAACAGAAACGGAACTTCGCCGACAGATGCGAAACAACGCGTGGCAACATGGGGGAAAAACTCCCCCTTCCAGGTGCGTCTTCTCGGGGAATGGTCACTCCCTACATCGCTTGTTTCATGTGTGCTTTTTAGCTATACGCGACTGCCGTGGCGGCAAAACGCACCTCGCGGGACGCGTAAAAGAAAGCATAGTGAACGCCCGGTGTCATCACTCATATGTGACCCCGGTTGGGTCGTCTAGCTAGTAGAAGTGGAGGATGGGGGCCAGAGGGGCAGACGACAGAGTTCAACAAATGGGAGACAAATAAAATAAAAAAAACTCTCACCCGTGTAGTACGGGGTGAGGTAGCGCCGAGCGTCGGCGTTGGTGATGGAGGCGGGGTCCATCGCCGTGAGCCCGTGAGCAAGGCGGCGGGGGCTCGTGATGAACCCGTATAGGTGGCGCCACATCCTATTTAATGNTCTAGCTAGTAGAAGTGGAGGATGGGGGCCAGAGGGGCAGACGACAGAGTTCAACAAATGGGAGACAAATAAAATAAAAAAAACTCTCACCCGTGTAGTACGGGGTGAGGTAGCGCCGAGCGTCGGCGTTGGTGATGGAGGCGGGGTCCATCGCCGTGAGCCCGTGAGCAAGGCGGCGGGGGCTCGTGATGAACCCGTATAGGTGGCGCCACATCCTATTTAATGTTATCGTAAACAATATTGGGATATATGAGTAGATGGCGTATGGGAAAAGAATTGACATGCATCTACGCCAACATAAGACTCGGCAACACTAACGCCACGACACGATGCCGGGGCTACGGGGCGTGTTTTTCTTTGACCGCCCCCACTCCCACAACAGCACCCCAATGATGACCGCCACGAGGAGCATTTCAAAAGGTAGGGGTGATTGGGCCCAGCCTGCAATCAGATATTTTTCGGGCCCAGTTTATAGCTGCAGAAGGGCTCGTGAGAGGACGCAGTCAAATAACTGTGAAGGGCTTGACGTGTTCAATGTGACGAAGGGAGCGGTGAGACCGCGCCAAAAAACATGTATCTTATGCAACGTAAGGAATACCTGCTACAAAGATAAACTCACGCACACACCCGGCACTCACGCTTCTTGGAACGCCCTCTGGTTCCTCGCTCCCAATCCGCCGGTCTGTAGCTTGGACCAGCTCCTCACCTGCCTCACAGCGCGACAGGCGATGGTCTCCGGCGCGCCCACGTCAGTGAGAGGGGCATGCTCTAGCTCCGCGATGGCGTGCAGGGCGAGCGGGGTCGCGACCTGAAAAGTGTGGATGGAGTACACGGGAATGCGAGGTCGAACTGTTTGGTCTGTACTTTCTGATGGGCGGAGGGGCGCATGCACGAGAGAGTAGGCCTACGCGGCTGGGACACGGCACTCCCAGCGGAACGGACGAACACATTTTGATCCCGCGGAACAACAAACACCATGTCGAGACACGAGAATAAGCGCACATGTCCACCTGAATCATGAACAGTATGTGTGGTGGGACTACGTACCTTTGGACTGTAGCCGCCGAGCGAAAACACACCTAAGCGCTTCCACGTACCTGGTTGGCAAAGTCGCGGCCGAACGCTGTTCCCGCCGAAGATATCGGCCATGGACAGGCCATGGCGGTCCTTGGCGCGGTGGGCCTTCATCGCTCGAGCGAAGGTGGCGTGCATGAAGGTCTCGACGCGGCGGGCGTTCTGCAGATAATGAATGGGGGACAGGGCACGCGCAAGGCAGCAGTTGGTTAGACGGTACGGACGTACGTGGCGATGCTCAAGCTTCAATACCCATTCGGCATGACCTTCACGGCTATAGACACTACTGGTAAAAGCTTTGGGGGATACATACTCTCTCCCAGGGACCACATAAATACGCGCAATAACGCACTCAATGTAGACATATCTACACACCGCTCCCGAAGCACACAAAACAATGGAACTCCTAGTATACCTCACCCCCGTCCGCATCCATGGTGTACAGAGAAGCGCGAACCCCGCGGATGAGGTCGGACGCAGTCTCCGCTCCCAGGTTGGCTCGGATCTCGTCGTTGAGAGCGGTTAGGATGATGTGCTCCGCCAGGCCCAAGCGAAGGGCGGCGTGGAGCTCCCTCCTGTACGGCGAGATGTGCTTGGAGAGGATCGCTGGAATGTGGAGACAGAAGGCACCATGGCGCAAGACACGGCGGCGACACACAGTTTGAAACGGAGTAAAACCCGCAAGGGGCGGCAGGACATATGTACTCTGGCACAAGCATATATGGGCGTGGGTAGGCACATCAACGACGCAAACGAGGCACCGAGCATCCGTGGTCGCTTAACCAGGGGCTCTTCAAAAGGTGCCCGATCATCTGTTGGGCACAAGGAATCGAGGGTAACGAGGATACCGGGGGCCGAGAAGAAGAAGTACACGACAAAGCGCGGTACTCGTTGGGCCGCTGAGTTCCTAAACATTTATGAACAGGAGAAATCAAAAGAACACATACATTTTATAAACCGAGCACACGCGTTGTTTACCTGAGAACTCGGAGGTGACGGGTCCGACCCACATGCAGCTGATTGCCGCCATAACGTTGTTGGTGGTGGTGGACGTTTGCTGTCCAGAGGAATGGCGCTTCTTCTCGGGCCCCACGAAAGCCTCGCTGAAATGTGCCTTGATCGAGGCACCAGAAGACGGCGGGGGCGCCTGGAAAAAAAGTTGAGAGAACAAAAAAAGAGCGAATGACACGCACGTTAGGGTTCAGTATCCTAACACAAACAAACGTCTGTTGTGCAATCAGTGCCTTGCGAAACATAGATATGATATAAACATGAAATACACGAGTACGTACTTCACAACTTACGACGACCCTCAAATAGTGTGTACCATACTCACCATCAAGGATGGGGCCACGAACCGGAGCAGGTGGTCCGAGGCCAGACAGCACTGTCGACGAAACAATCTGACGGAGGTGTTCGAACACCTCGTCCGAGCTCATGCTGCTGTCGATGGTGACGGAGCTGGTGATGCTGGCACCCGCCATGGGCGTTCCACGAAGGCTCCCAAAGGGGCGGCGGCCGCCGTCTAGCGTCACACTCGGGAACGAGCCGCGGCGGGCGCTGTCCCTGCCGCCGGCCGCGCCGGCGGGGGGCAACATGCTGGTTCCACCCATCGGGGTCGCAAAACCCGATGGCGGTCATGGGAGAGGGCATAGGAGAGGGGACCTGGGGCGCGAGTAGGTCTTCAGACTCGTCGTCTTCCTCGTCTTCCTCCTCTTCTTCAGAATAATCGGGGTCATCTTCGTCACCGCTTTCTTCGTCCTCCGTGTCCGCTACAGGTGGAACCGGTTCGTCGTCGCTCTGTGGTGATGAGAGAGAGGGGAAAGGGGTGGCGGGCGGAGCGGATGCGGCATACGCACGAATTGGTGGTGCATCGCGGCGATATTTCGTGCGGTAAGAATAGCTGTCTTTCAGATATTGTAAACGTACAGATGTGAGGAATGTAAAACACAGGCATATACCGATGTTCCAACAGCAACGTGTGTTCTTCTGCGCCACCGTTTTGCCGTGCGCCACACGCGCTCCGGGCAGCAAGGGCAGGCATGTCATACATATTCACCCAAACGCAACGGGCACGGGGCGTACTCGGACAAAGTATATTGCTTTTCAGCACTGGTGTTCCGCCATCACCTCTTGCGTTCAGATAATGTTTGTACATGTGGTTACGATGAACAGTACCGACGGAGATGCTCTTGGGATGGTGGCCTTCGCATCCCGTCTTTTACACCCGGGAGGTGGTCTGACAATGAACGAGCGAACACTCGCAAAAAATCGAAAAACTCCCGAGTGTAACATGTGACTTCAATGGTCACGACGTCGTCCCCCCCCTGGCCACTCTTCTTTTGTGGGAGGGGGGCGGGGCTTATTGTTTGTTGGTATATCGTGTAGTGGTTGAGGGCGGAAAAGGGAGCTCAGACAGACATACACAAGCGGGGGGTGTCTCCCAACATGTAAGTAAGGTTATGTGTTATGATGAAGTCCGCTCACACATCCACGTGTTTTCCTTTCGAATAAACATGCCCGTTAATATGCAGAGACAATGGAGAAGAAAAAAATAGCAGCGTGAGCCCGCACACGCATGACACGAGTACGCATTTGAAAATGAAAGCGTTGGTTGACTGCTGCGCGGCGAATGAAATGACTACACCGGTGTTGCAACGAGCAACAGCAAACTACCAATACGTGGGCACGCATGCAAACAGATAGACCGGCGGACCGCGCCAGCCATGACCCCTTCTGAAAGAAAATCATCACCCCTCTTCTTGTTTTTGAAAGAAGACCACCAAAACACAACAGAACTCCTCTGCGGAAAGTGAAATTCTTCTTCCTTGTGAACATACCTAACACCGGTCGCCCCGGTGGTCTGGTGGGTAACCTCGCAGCCTGCAAAGGGCCAGGTCATGGGTTCGAGTCCCGGCAGAGTGAGTTTTTTTCTCACAAAATAAATCCTGGTCTAGGATGAAAGCGACGCGTGGCAAAGCTCGTTGTTAGTAAACCATAATCGACTTCGTAAGTCGCGAGGGAAGGGATTGCTGTACCCTTCTCGCGATAAAAATACCTCAGGCATGAACCGCAGTACGGGGTCCAGCCCCCCCTCTCCTATGTGACCCCGGTTGGGTCGTCTGGCTAGTAGAAGTGGAGGATAGGGGCCAGAGGGGGAACGACAGAGTCCAATGATGGGAGAAAAAAAAAAAAACTTCTCTGTGGAGGTGGCACGAGGAAACGCAGATGCCGCTCGCTTCTTGTAGCCAGCCGAGGACGGATTGAGGGCAGAGCGCGGGCCACTTTTCACCTTGCTCTTGCTGGGCGCTCCACGGCTAGCAGACTGGCGATTCTCCTTGTATTCCCTCCGCGCGCCGCCGGACTAGTGGCGTCGCGTGACGGCAGGCGTCATTTGCTGACCCAGGCGCTGCGAGGTCGAGGCAGCAGCCCTGGAGTGGGCGTTGGACGACGAGGTCGAGCGGCGAGGTGAAGACATGCTGCGGTGGATGGTGGGTGGATGTGCTGGTGGTGGTTTGGGTTTTGTTTGGTTGTGAGTTGGGGTAGGTCTCGCGTGTGGTTTTCTCCTCCAAAAACAGAGAGACGAGGCAACGGTCAACAAAAGTACGTGTGGTGAACTACACATACATTTAAAAACAAGTACTAGACCCCGAGTGGTGGGAGTTTTTTCCGCGCGCACCATCACAACGGCAGAACCCGTGCTGCGGAAAGTACCTGCAGTAGGCTGCGTCGTGCGCCCCCCGTGAATATGTGTTGCCTTTGTTTTGGTACACACACCCGAAATGTTGTTGATGCGATGTTGTTGATGCGAATCGTTGTTGTCAGCACTCCGAATGCGTTAATAAATGAAAAAGTCGAAATATATGCCCCACCACTCAGAACACAGCAGCAGCAGAATATTTGAACTATGGTCCGTTCGGGCAAATATTCACGATCTTGTTTTTCGCGATATCTTTCAAAAAAAACGATTTGGAAAGTGAAACAACTTTGGGCGTGACCGAGGCGTCGAGCTTCGTCGATATCCGATGAGTTTTTGGTGATTGGGTGAAATGCGACATTTTTGACCAAAATGACCCACGGAGCCCCCACCCCCTCATGACCCCACGGAGCCCCCAAAGTACACCACGACCCCCCCTCAACCCCTCCCCTCTACACTACATGTATATGTCTTCAGAACATCAGTTAAATCGTTGTCAATCCATATTTACATTATTTACACGTTACATATGTACATACATACATACATATAATACCGCGGTTTACTTTCTACTCAACCCCTGGCTGGTGAAGGTGCTGCAAACAAAGCATGCAGCAATCACATCCGCGTTCTCTCTAAGCAAGTTCGATACCAAGAGAGACAGCTATAGCGTTGAGTTGGTGACCATGACGAACGCCTCTACCGCGCCTAAACGCGAGAAACCAACACTACAACACACCGCGACGTACCCTCCCCACTCACGCCTGAGCGTGCCCGCCCAATCCATCGTGTTGCGCAAAATCCACAGCCGTAGCTGCTCCTTCCGGGAGGCTCTCCTGCTCGTCCACGTGTTGAAGGCTTCCCTGGTCGCTGCCATCGACTTCTTGCGCACTTCCTGCGCAGCCGCAAGCGCCTTCGCCTCGGCTGCCTTCTTCTGCTCCGGCGTCTTCCCCCCCCCCCTCGCCTGAATCACGGCATCTCCCCTGGCGGTGGCTTCTCGGTGCTTCCCCCACTCCTTGAGATCGCGGTACTCGAGGTAGTCCTCCAGGCCCTCGTCGTAGGCTTCGATGTACAGCCACGTCACCCTGCTCCATGCGCGGATAAACCGTG